AACAGGAACTAACAAACCAAGGCTCTGACATATAGAACCAGTTTACAATGCATGCCATCACAATCCCTCACACCAAGCATGTATACAGTGAGAGTGGAGAGGAAAAACTCCCTCCAGCAGAACCAAGTGTAATGTGCTAAGGTGGACTGGATTCAAGCAGAAGCAGAGATACAGAACCGGGTGTCTGCCTCACGGACTAAAACTGGTAGTTGGTTCCACAGGAGAGGAGCCTGAGAACTAAAAGATCTGCCTCCCATTCTACTTTTAGAAATTCTAGAAACCACTAGTAAACTAGTAAGTCTAATAGGAAATTTAGTTCTATCAGACCTTTGATGGATCCTAGTTTTTTATGCCTTTATATGTGAGACTGAAGATGTTAAAATTTATTCTGATTTTAAGCCAAGAAGGGAGCAAAAATAGGGCAAATGTGATATCTATTTTTATTTTCTGTGTCCTAATTTGCCAACAGAGATCTGGTAATCAATGGAAGACATAGAAAGTAGCCCACTAGATTGGCTTTCAGTTACCATATGTTTCTCTTTCTAATTATATATGAAAGTTTATTAGAAAGGATTTAGGGAAGAAAATATTATGAAATAAAAAATGGAGAAAAAGGGATAGAAAACAGAAAAAAACTAAGTTAAATAAAAAATAAATGCAGAAGATCTACAATAACTAGAAGTCTCCTTTTGCACCTGATGTGAGACGAGAGGAACAGAAAACAAAGTAACTATCACAGGATTAACAGAATAAGGGAAACAGGATTGATAATAACATAAGTGATATAAAAGAAAAAAAAAATAGCAGGGCCTAAAGGGGATGGTTAGACTCCGGACTCCCAAAATTATGATCGACTCTTGTCATTGCAGAAATGCTCTTCTGATGTTTGGGGAATCATAGCAAGTGAACTTTTAAATTGCCAGTGACACACGTCGTTTGCTCGTTCAATGAGGCGGCCAAACATTTGGGAAGGTCTTATCCTTTGTTGATCAGCTATTACGTATTTTGACCTACAGGACACATGTTAGCAAGAAAAAGGATTGATTCAAAAGCCCCAGAAAAGTTGTAAAAGTACAAGATGAAGAAAACACTCTTTAAGGTCAAACAGACAAAGTAAGACCAGGTAGAAGAGATTGTGAAGAAGAAGGGTAAATCTCTGTGTTCTAAAACAATCCAGCAGAAACCGGTCTGCTTTACTGTTTGCATATTTAGTCAAAAATGGCATCCGAAGCTTTGCATATATCAGTACAATCATAGAAATTATTATCTTTCTGGTCACCACATCTCAGATGAGCAGACTTCGGTAAACTAACTGAGATAACTTTGAAGAAATCAAATATGCTTAATAAAAAGTTAAAGATAAAACATATGGGAAGACTAAGAGACATTTCCCAGGGATACAATAGAACTAAAATCGTCTCCAAAAACATGCAGTTAATTTAATTATTATTTAATTATTCAAACCAAAGGGACGTAAACCCCTGAAAAACTCCATGTAAATCAAAACCTGAGTTTTCAGAAGTAGCATTCAACAAATCAAAACATCCCACTGCTTCTCTGTACTTCCTTGGTTCTTCCATTTTAACATGTAACCAGTTATATGATTATTTTATGTGTAACATGATCATGAAGTGGGGGGGGTGGTTAAGCTTTGCTCTACGACGGCCTTAAATTTCAAACCACATCAACAAATCTTTAAATAAAACAACAAATTCAAAATCATAGCAAAAAAAAAGCCAAATGTTGCCTTCATCCAATCAGCAAAGTTCAAGTTTCCCCACTAATAACTCCCTCCTCCAGAAGGTTGATGTCATTTTGACTCTGAAAATGTTGCATTTTTTTTAGTTGCAGTTAAAGATTTGTTGATGTGGTTTGCACTTCAGGGCCACCGTAGTGCAAACATACTATATAACATCCTGACTTGCATCCTATTATTGTACTCTGTTGTGGTGATGATGCTGTAAGAGAAAATGCCTAGATTTCAGTTTTCAGAAGTTACATGTAACTGTACTGCTTTACAATCTACAGCTCCAAAGTAATATGCTATAAGATCCCAAAACACAGAGAAAAATCAGTTTTTGGCAATGTAATTTCCAGTTGGTTTTTGGTGATAAACCTGGAGGTTACTGCCCCCGTGTGGCTAAAAGTTAGTATTGCTTTAAGGACCACAAATCTGTTTCTGCAATCATGTTTATTGCATTCAAGTTTTTCAGATTGTTCTTTTACCCATCTGTTGATGATTATCTTTAACTTGTTTCTATTTTAACCTGAATATGCTTTTCTTATTAATAGTAGGAATGTATTTTTCCATCTTGGAAATAAGTTTCTTTTGTGTCCTGCTGTATCGCTTAATTTTATTATTTTCATATTATCTTATCTTATTTAAGCTTTATATGTTCTGTGTACTTATTTTGAGAAAGGTGACAACATAACTTCCCCTCATAATTTAATTAATTCATTTATTTTACAGGGATAGTGTACATTAATCAGAATTGCTGCAAAAGCACCAGAATTAGCTTAGAGGCATTTTTTGTTTATCTGTTGTTTCTAGACAGACATAAAAACACAACAGGGATAATTTTACAGTAAACCATGCAAATATAAAAAAAAGAAATAAAACAACTTTTCAAATCTTGTTGACAAATACATTGTTGACAATACAGTGTAAAGTTTGATAGAAAACAGATTTTTTATATATGTAAATATTTCACTCCTAAGCTGCTCATTCACTGTTTGAAAAGCTGTATGAAATGTCTTATTGTAAACACTGTGTGGTTAAACAATGACAATAAGGTTTGTCTAAAATAAAGTAACACCTTGATACTATCGCTGAAGTATAAGTAGTATTATTTAGTCTGACATGTACTCTGTGGTACCTGAAGATCAGAATGTGGGCTTTCTGTATGGAAGTGAATCTCTGAGTACCTGGAACCAAACACCTGTAGTTTTGTGCATGTAAGGTTTATCCAAAGGAAAAATGCTCAATAGTGGTTGCGAAGAGCCGAAGAGGCGCCCCCCCAGAGCACTGAGTCCAGCACCGGGAGACCCAAAGCCCCAGACGCCCAAAGGGACCCCAAGAGCAAAAGCATCAAGGAGGGGCCAGCCCAGGAAATCCGACCCCCACCAAGGGAGGAGGAGAGACAGCCCCGAGGGCCAGAGTCAATCACGCCATCCCACCCTAGTGCCCCCACTCACATCACAGAAGAAAAAAAAAGAAAAAATGCTCTGTGTTCCTGATCTCTAGAAATGCGGAACAATAAAGATTGTTATTATTTTGTCTTGTCTTGAAATGAGTTTATTAGGGGAATAAACTATTACACAGCCAATTATTTTTTTCATAACTGGGAATTTCTAATTTGGTACTTTTGTTAGAAGTAAAAATAAGTGTATATGTTGTATATATGTTATTTTGTAATAACATATTCAGTGGTAGAATAAATATTTCTAGGATAAAATCTAAATAATTATTGAGGATTTACCAAGACCTGTTAAATGAAGTAAGGCGAGGGGCGGCTTTGAGCATCAATATGTGTCATGTTCCCTCTAACTTTCCATCTGTCTGAATGTTGGTTTTAATATATGTTCTATTATGATTATATATGAAATAAATATATTGATTTATATTGTATATTTAAAAAAACTGATCTTTGAGCAACTTTACTCAGTTATGTTTAGTTTTCTGGTTAATTTCCCTGGTCTCCCATAATTCAACCTTGTCTTCAGTGTTTAAAGTTTGCAATTTTCCCAATTATTGCCTTTAATCAATCTTGTAAATATTCTGAGACATTAGTGTTATCAATATGTACTTCTGAACATCCAGTAACCTGTAGATATTACCAGTGGAAGTTTCCGACCCCGTCCTAACATATAGCCGGTTCTCATTGTTGGAAAAAAAGGTTAAAGTATATCTTCTTGTTATTATATATTTATGACATTTATTTGTATTCTTTATGCATCTGAGCCTTTAAAATACCAGAACTTGCATATAAAGTCTGTTTGCCAGCATCATTTATGAAGATTAAATCTGATGTTAGTTTCTCAGGACTCAAGTAGCCTTTTTACTGAGTACTTTTAACTTTTACTTGAGTAAAAACAAATTAAACTTGATGTAGCCGTTGTCCTCAGACATCTTAAACACCTGGCTGGACCAATCCATAGTGCCAGCATGCTTCCAG